AATCATTTGGAAAATTCAGAACTGAAGCGTTTGTTATTTTGGTTCTTATAATTTAAAGGTCTTCTCCGAAGAAATATGCAGAATGTTTCCGGTACAGATGAGTCTATTTTACCTACGTGGTGGAAAATATCATCTAAATATAATTTACTCTACAAATTTCGTACATATGTAACTTTCTTGAATAAGTGAATGTAAAGTAAAAATTAATTATGACATAATTAGACAATATTTTTATTAGGACATCCATTATATTCGTATACAATATCCTTGGTTTGCTAGAAGAGTGACAACTAACAAAAGTAAATTTCGCAGGAAATCGGTTTAAAATTTTCTGTGGTAAAAAATTATTAATTACTCGACCATTCAGCAATGAAAATATTTCATTCTTTCAACAATTTAGTTAACAGTCTCTGGGTTTTTAAGGTTTCTAATAAAATATTGTTTACGTGTATTAACTGTTTACTATTAACCTTAACGCGATCTTCCGTTCGACTATACACTTACCCCTTGGAACTCGAAATTTTATTTAAAATTTTCTTTTCAATATCTCCCTATTATTTTAAGAATTTTATTTGAAATACACTTCAAAAGACACTTGCTTCATAGGAACCAATTTAAACAACTTTTTTTACTGATTATATTGAAAATAGCATTAAGGGTCATATACATATGTATGTGTGTACTTATTGGTAAATGAAATATTGCAAAATATAATATATATTTAAACTGGCAATTTAAAAATTACTTCATTCATACCTGTGAATAAAACTGATGTCGAGTCACACCCGACAAAGGAGTCCAAAGGGATAATTGGGTCTGTTTTGACCCAAAAACCGCATACGTAACAATTATTGCTATCAGCACGCCATATGAACCTAGACGATAAACTCTCAATACAACGTTAAGGGAAAATAAACTTGATAACAGCAAATGTTGTTAAAAAAATAAAAATGCGATGGGTCGAGAAAGACCCGAAGACCGTACTAAGATTGAAGAAAGGGTTAAAACAGCCCTATATTTGAATTGTGACATTGTTCTTGCTAAATAGTATCTGTAATTTTAATTTCAATTTTAGTGGCGTACTTTCGCATAAAAATAACTCACTTTTACAGTTACTTTTTCCAAATATCTCAAAATGAATGATTTCTCATATATATCTCTCTTCTAGCAAACCGATGACATATGTACCTACTTATATTTTTCACAGAGAACATAAACAGCGAATGATCGTTCAGCACTGATCATAATCCAGCTTGAAATCAGCTGTGAGAGCGGTGAAATCTCGAAGGATTAGCGTAGCAGAGATCACGTTCTCTCTGTCCGTTTCTCTCCCTCTTCCGCCCTTTCCATACGTTGAAAATCAGATAGTGGCGAAGCAGTGAATGTCCGTGAGAACGGGTAACATTATTATTGTTACCGTTGTTGTTCTCGTTAAAAGCCGAAATAAAGTAGGGAACGACCGTGTTTTCACATTGCGTTAACAAGTGCTCTGTTACAGCTAACTCGGTGAAGCGGACCGTTTCACGCGATATCCTCTACACACCGGGGCTCGACTGTAAAATAACTTACTTTGCGGTGGTTCTTTCGCACCGCGACTTTATCTTTCTTCGATTTCGAATTATCACTGGAAACTTTTCGTTTCCACGTTTCGCAATGGTTGTTTCTAATTGCTAGGCGAAGGATAATAGCGGCGAAAATAACATTCGTTCTCAAAGTGAAAGATTTTAATTAAAAGAATTATTGATTGTGCGACTATACGTGCCTAGGCTAAAATAACCATGGAAATAATTTCGAGTAATTTCAAGTGCTGAGTTCGCAGATTTTTAGAAACTTCAGCTGAGGCGTCGTTAAAGGAGGATGTTTAAAAAAGGCTAATTTTGGCATACTTTTGGCATAATTTTTACAGCATGATTCTACACATTCTAAGGAACGAAAAATGTAACTGTCATTTTTCCCGGAAATGATAGGAGAGATATGAGAAATGCGGTTCAAGATAAGAGTATGACCATACTTATAACTTATATTCCGTCTCCTTTTCTTCGGACGATGTTCGTAAATTAACCACTTAGAAACTCATATTGTGTATTATTTACAAAGATTGTTGTACATTAGTGTTTAATAAAAACCAAAAATAATTAATGACAAATTAATCGAAACAAGGAATTCTTTGATGACACAATGAAACTGTAGCTGTGTAGCTCGCAGAGACACGCTTCTCGCTTGATTTTTCTTCCAAGCTGAGCTGTTCGTTGTGTACTTGAATTCGGTGCACTAGCTACTTGTATGCAGCGGCACTTAATTCACACGAACGAATATGCTAAGTACGTAAATTGATTGGAAATCCGCGTATAATCGAAAACGCCTTGTTCGAGCGAGCACTGTATTCCCTACAAGACTAAACTCGCACAGTATAAGCGACGTTCACCGAGGCACTCGTTCGGCAGCCTCGTAAACACCGACTGAGGACGAGTCGTCCTGCCCGATTTCTGCTCGCTATACGCTCGCAACTGTTCTGGGGAAAATTCTAGGCCTTAACGTCTTAGAACTCGTGATATTTCTTGCGTGCCAAACATAAGAAACGCGAGCCTAGGTCGCTGTACGTACATCGAGCCAAACATAAAGCTAGCTGTCCTTTTCAGAGTAAAACTATCGCAAGTTATAAACAGTTGAGAATAAACAGTTGCTTTGCAAACACTAAGCATTTTCATATCCTTGACAGAACTCTTGTGCGAGTAAAAAAGTCAGGAACAAAATTTAGTGGAGAAATGAAATCACCGGATACACAGTTAAGAAATGCAAATTCTGTTGGAGTCTTACTTTTTTATTGTATCCCTATCATGACGATTATTTTATTATATTTACTATTATAACTTTTATCACTTCTACAATAAATAATTATTGGTTTCTGATTGCTTCGAATATAAGCATCGTGTCATCAAAGAATTTCTTGTTTCGATTAATTTGTCATTAATTATTTTAGGTTTTTATTAAACACTAATGTACAACAATCTTTGTAAATAATACTCAATATGAGTTTGTAAGTGGTTAATTTACGAACAGACCATCGTCCGAAGAAAAGGAGACGGAATATAAGTTATAAGTATGGTCATACTCTTACCTTGAACCGCATTTCTCATAACTTTCCCATCATTTCCGGGAAGAATGACAATTACATTTTTTGTTCCTAAGGATGCGTAGAATTATGCTGTAAAAAATTTTTTCGTTCCGGGCGTGTGCCAAAATTGGCCTTTCTTTAACATCCTCCTTTGCAGTATATATTTTTTTTATTACTGTGTAAATTATTCTGCAAAATGAAACTTAAGAAACGAGACAGGAATGTGGATAATGAATTGCTTCGAAAATTCCCCTTTCCTAATTTAAAATAACGAAGTTGAGTCGTAACTTCCATTAATTTTTCTCACGTTTACTATTGCCTAACGTAATCTTAAAATTCACCTTCGTTTGCTACCTTTCTCCAATTTTCACTTTTTAAAAATTGGAGAAGGAAGCTGAAAGATGCACTTATAGTCCTTGAAAAAATTGAAGCTTTTCATTTAATAGTTACCTATGAAAAAAATTCCCAAAGTTTACCTATTTCCAGACGCCTCAGTGTGATGTATCCCCTTAACCCCTTAACCCTCACATTTTGCTCTATTTGATGTGCCAAAAATGATCAATTTTATTCTTTTCTAATTATTCCCTGGGCATATAGAAATAAGTTTCCCATTTATTTATAATGTTGTCACTCACATTTTTGCAATAGAATAAAAAGGACAACGCAATATGAGAAGTGAAGGAAAATAATTAAACAAAATTTAGAGCAAGACACGGGCATGAGCCCGTTAAAGGGTTAAAAGCATAAATAACATCTTGAATCACGTTCAGAAATTAGCATCAACGAGTGTTAGAATATAGCAATATTGTTGGACGACTTGGTTAATTGCACCAGACACTTTATCCCCTGTACTCTCATTGACTGTTTAAAACTTTCCCTTGTGCAATAAAACAAATTGCCTTGCACGTGTTGCCAATGGGAAGCGAGGTTAAGCTACGTAGTCTTCATATCCTAGACGTCATAAAACGCCCTAGCTTCACCCTAGTCCTGACCACTTCCTTACGACTCTATACCACCACCTAGAATTTCCATTAATCAACGGGTAAAGTCTTGCTTTGCCTCGAAATCAAAAATTTCAAACAATGACATATTCGTTTCAACGAAGAATTATCACACTTAGAGCTCCCTTTCTTTTTAGTTGTATCACTAAACTTAGATTTGTGCGCCAAAAGTGTGTTATTTAGCTCTCTAACGAAATTCAGCGATATTTACCAACAATCATTACACAGATGATAAAAGAGTTATACACACAACATTGAAAAGACACAAATTTTGTGCTAAATGTCTGTATTTGTTATTAAGTTGTTACTAAGGCAATTAAGATTGCAGAGAACTTATGTTACGATACAGTTACTCCATTATATTTATAATTAGTACATATATTGTAAATAGATATCCTAATAGTCAGAAAATTAACAAAAGCCTCTAGTATACTGCTTTTTCATTTAATTATATTTCTACATGCAACAGTAGTGACATTTCTTTCTTGTTACTGATTTGAAATTGCAAGTGCTTTAACAATCTTATTAAGCTGTTTCATGTAATCAATCAAAAAATCTCTAATACACCACAAGCAATTAGTAGTGAAGCTAATTCTTACAGTGGTTTGATTTTTAAATAAAAATATTTTGGAAGCAATACTTTAGGCGCGAAATACTCTGAAAGGAATATTTTTGAATATTTCAGAAAATTCTGGAATTATAATAATATTAGACTAACCTTATTGGTTATAAATGAAACAACGTATATAAATGTTGAACGTGAAGAACGCCTAATCAATAAGGGTTGTTTAACGTTATTATATACCAAATATCGTTTCCAAAATATTTCAGTATTTTACTATATGTAAAAAGCATGTCTCTATGTACATCAAGCGACAACTCACTGTTTTTGTAATTTTCCGACGTTGATGCATATTGCGTACCATGATGGTGACCCGATAACGGCCCCGATATTTTCAGATTCCTCGATTGCCGTCCTGAAAAAGACACAATGGAACAGGAACATTAAAGACTGGGTCACGATTAATCATAACGGTCAATTAGGTGCTCGCGAGAATAAAGAGACGTTTCCGATGGCTCTACGTTTTTTTGTCGTTTTTCTTATCTGAATCGAAGCTTTCCAACTGAAATTCCACAGACGATTTAAATGAACCCTTATCTGGATAAGGGGTCCCTAATGAAGCAGACCGATATTTCTGATGAAAGCTAGGAACCTCCGAGTACTTTTTCATAAATATCTCGATTTGTTACCTTTTCAGGCCACTGTAGAGGCGAACGATGCTAATCAATTGATCTTGATGATTAAAATGTACATACATCGTCGAACGTAATCCTGATAATTAACTGCGGAAACGTCAGTTGCTACGTGATTACATTTCAATGAAATTTTAAAGAGGGTTCTTTAAAAATAGTGAATGCTTTGTGAATCATTAGTCTTTGAATGATGCTGTTACAGTGACTTCATTTCGGAATAATTTATTTGTTAAAAAAATTCTTCAGATGATTGAAGAAATGGTAGTCTGTTGGGGAAAGGTTTGGTGAATAGGGAATAGTGAATTTACCGTGAATTGTTTTCAATGTTATCATCGACAGCCTTATCCAGCCTTTCTCTTGGCTTATTTTTCTTGGCTTTATATTGCATTTTTAGCAGTTTTTATCACAAATTTTTCAAAGTTAAACTTATATAAAAAAAATCACGCGCATATCCCGATTATTCATTATGTCAGATAACAATATCGGAACAATTGTGTTATGAATTTTTTTACTATTCAATACACGTGTACTACAGCAAATTACATATAAAAATTTGTGATCAATCTCAGCTATTGAAAAAACGACATTTCTAAGTTTACTACCCTCGACTTTGAAGGCGACTTTCATCCCTTCAACGTGGAGGATTATTAACAAAAACAAACGCGTCGAATATATTTCTGAGTTTCTACCACGTACCAAAATTTTATCGAGGAAATTGTTTCGTAAAAAGAATCAGATTTGTAAGGAAAATTCAACGAAAATTAAAACTTACGATCTATTTCTCAGGTAAAGATAAACACTCAATGGTGTTAATAATTAAGGAACTAACGTGTGATCAAATTAACCATTCCATTTCACGAAGAACATTATACAAAATGCGCAATTATTGAGAACAACCAGACGCTTTCTTCCTACGCGGCTTCTCGTCGGATATTCGAAGTGTGGAAATGATAATTTAAAGTTGGAAATCATGACAACCTATGGTAGAAACTTTAACGATATTCCGCGAGGACAACTGCGCACAGCAATGCTTATAACTTGAATGGACTATAACACCTTTTCCTGGGAAAGTAGGAAAAACTGGTGAATAAAAGTATCGCGTGGCTCAGTAACGATTTATTACTTGCTCCTCTAATTTTTCTTTTCTGCGAATGCAGTGGTATCGTAATAACGTTAAACAAACCTTGTTGTTTATAAGTTAATAATTTTACGTTCTACACGAAGGGTCAATATTATTAACGAACCTTATTATTTATAGGTTAATACAATAATGTCATAAAAGTGTTAATGCCAAATCGCATTTTTCCACGTTTCTAAAACGTTTTTTATTTGTTTTTGTTTCTTGTCGGAGACAATTTTCATGTCCGACATGGAAAATAACTAATTGATAAAATTTCTTTGATGTTAAAATGCAAAATACAGTTCAACTGTATTTGATATTCTTTTAATTTCACTACAATTATACTAAATACGAAAAAGTTATTTTAATTCATTTTTATCATTTCTTTTGTCGCTAAATACATGAGTTCTTTTAATTCGAGTATTACTATTCTAGATACGAAAATGTTATTTCGATCAATTTTTATAATCTTTTGTGTCTCTAAATGCACATGTTCCGAAAAACTAAATTTCATAATAAGATTAAGCTAGTAAATGATCCCACTAATGATAATTTACAGAGCCATCAAATTTGTCAAAGTAATGGGTGTCCAGCATTCTTTCTCGTTATCTCTAGAATTATCTATCGACGAGACAGAGACAAATGGCAACGTAGAACGGTAAAGTTTGCTAATTGTCAACACCTGAACGTAAGTGATTATGGAGAAAGTTTTGCCATTGGGGATTTACAATCTTGTCCTTATTGATTTAAATACAGCTTCGTAAGATAGGAATTACTTGTTAAAGCCTGACTTTTCCCAGCAATATGAACTTTATCTTTTCAAATTTCGAGTGAAGGAAACTTCACTACTTCAAAGTTTATATTACGCTCGCTCATATTCTTTGTTACCCTGGCTTCCATTTTTAGTTACCTGCAGTTCGTGCTGCTGTTAAAATTATTAACGTTTCGTGATTGCAGATCAGACGTTTATAATTTCCTTATATTACCCTATCTGCTATTTAAACCAATTACACACTATTTGGATCCAGAAAACAATAATTTCTCTGAACGAGTGCAATCGTCACGTAATAATCTAACACCTATGTTCGATACTGATAAGAATTATCGTTTGCAACTTTTCGACTTTGTTTTCTGCACGTATGCTTCCATTTGCATCGGTATGAACCTAATTTTTCAATTACGTTTCACTTACATAAAAATTCACCTTCTGAAAAGTCCCCAATTGGTCATTTTCACCAGGCAGGTAGTTCTAGTCTTAAACCCATCGCTACTTGCTCACACTCTTCCCTCCGCAAGATCCAATACCTTCCTCAATTGCTATCCGGTAGCCTCCTCGACTGATAACGCGACGCGATACCTTTTGTCTCATATTAAACGAATCCGACGTAACAAATTCCTTCTTGCACACCTGGAACCCGATACAACGAATTCCTTTTTGCACAAGGTGCAAACCTCTGCACCCAGCACATTCAAACAATCGCGGAGCGGAGTCGATCCCTGACTCGCCGTCAACAATCTCAGATATTCCGTTCGCTTCTGTCAGATAAGAAATCCCCTTGTGACCTCTGGAACGCTATCACGGACCACTGGCAAAAATAAACCATCTTGAAGAACACTTTCGAGTTTCTCCTCATCTTACCTAACGTTGTGACGTAACAGTACTACGCAATTCCAGAACGAATCATTTTTTAACGGATTCTTAACCTGTCAACCGAGTTCACTTCTCAAACTGAAATTGAATCTCTCTCGTTTACAAATAAAAATGAATACAAATTGTAACTGATTATTTCATTTTTCTTCTTGCAAATGCGAATATGATGTATTTTATATATAATGCAGGCAAAATTATGCAATTAAAAATAAACAATCCTTCAATAGCCAGACTAATTTCTGTTACCTGAAACACTAGTAAAACTGCAAAATGGCCGATGCATAGTGTAGTAGGTTAAGGGGTTAATTTTAGGGGTTAGATCGTCCTGGAGGCCAGAAAATGAGATACCTCACTTTGGCGCTGTGTTTTCAAGAAAATAATCGACTCAATCGGTAACTTCTTATGAAAGTTGCATAGTCAGAAAAGAAATCATAGGTTAAGGGGTTAAGCATTTTGTAACGACTGTTTAAGTTCGCTTCACATTGAACATGTGTCCTAATACTTTTGTATCAGACTGTACATCAAGCCACTCTCAAGGCGTTACTTACGGCGTATCAGAAATATCGAATCGCGGAATTCAATTTGCGGACTTCTGCTACACAGTTGCCTAAAGTTTTCGACACACTCCTCTCACTCTCTCTCTCTTTCTCTCTCTTCCTCCCTTCCACATCTCTCGTAAATAATCAACAAGGACGGTGCCGATGATAAGGTAACGAACTAGAGCGGTGTTCTCTCGGGCTGTTGAATTCCGCAAGAGGCGAAAAGTGAGCAGGCAGGCCGCTCGTCAAAGATTCCAGTGAAATTCGAGAAATTCAAGAAACGGCACGCGAAGAACGGGGAACGAAACAATGACGTTCGCGTTCACCGCGGTGTAAGCACGCTGGTGGCCGTATTTTTGAAGATGCCTTTGTGCTCTCGGCTTTCAAATTTCGCAGCTACGCCCGAACTTGAGTAACTGAATTCTATTGGTCGCTGCGAGCCGTGCTTGCATTCACTCCGCGCCATACTCTTAAGAAAGCTTTCATTGTTAGAATTCGAGTACGAACTCTATTCCTTCTTTCTTTCTTCTTCTTCTTCTTCTCCTTCCTTCTCTCTCTCTCTCTCTCTCTCTCTCTCTCTCTCTCTCTCTCTTCCCAGTATCAAGCCTGCTTTTGCGATATCCAAGTGCGCGGGCAAGCTTTTTCCTGCGTAACAGCCGAGCAGTTTCAATGTAACGGCGTTTATTTAGGGCGTGGTCTCATCATGAAACGATAATACCACGCTCCGCTGGCCAACGATTAATGGAGCAATCTCGGCTGTGACTAATGTTATACGCAATCGGGGAGCAGCTTCTAGCTTTTCACCGGCTTCGAATATGTACATCGTATGCAGGATTGGCTGGCTTACGCAGCACCGTCCAATCTATTCGCCACCGTGAAATTTACTTTACGGCTTATTGCCCGGTGTTTAGAGTAAAATGTAACCACAGCCCGGCATGTCAACCGGGGCCATTCTAATTCGTCCACGACTCTCCTAGCACTTCATTTCGCAGCTGATGCAAAGAAAACGACACACACGGTAGATGTGATATTTTGACTAACGAAACACGGACAGACTCCTTTGCGTGTAAAGGTTCGCCGCAATGCCGGGGTTAAGAGGTGTTATTTTTGAGAATTAGGGATATTTTTATTCCGTTGATTCCCTGCTTGATTATTCTCTATTTGTAAACGTTGGGTGCTTATTGTAAGGTAGATATACATTGAAATGATGGTTCAAACTTCGTTAATATTTTTCTTAATATTTTCGTTGAAGTTCTGTGAATAATTACAAATGGATACTAAACTGTTCACCGGAATAACGTATATTTGAATATTTAACACTTAAACTTGATTTTTACATTGTAGACAATTCTTGGTAAAATATGGGTATCAACGTGAATGCTTTCCAGAAGAAAATGGACGATTTACATTTGG